CCTCCTCATTTGTTGGTCACATGACGTTATATTGAGGAATGGAGATGGACCTTCATATGGTGTACAGTATCTCCTCCTCATTTGTTGGTCACATGACGTTATATTGAGGAATGGAGATGGACCTTCATATGGTGTACAGTATCTCCTCCTCATTTGTTGGTCACATGACGTTATATTGAGGAATGGAGATGGACCTTCATATGGTGTACAGTATCTCCTCCTCATTTGTTGGTCACATGACGTTATATTGAGGAATGGAGATGGACCTTCATATGGTGTACAGTATCTCCTCCTCATTTGTTGGTCACATGACGTTATATTGAGGAATGGAGATGGACCTTCATATGGTGTACAGTATCTCCTCATTTGTGGTCACATGACGTTATACTGAGGAATGGAGATGGATCTTAACTATGTGACCTGTTTCTGAATGTTTTCTTCATGACTTACCTGTGTTCATATGTAGAGAAGATTCCTCCTGTTTACTTTTCATAATCATCTGACTCTGCTCCATAGACTGCTGAGCTCCACTCACCAACATCACCCCTTCTTCCTTTTTATTCTCAACATTGATGTCTTTCAGTTCTTCGCCCTAAACAAACAAAAACAAATGATCAAATATAACACCTGGAAAGGATAAAGTAACTTTCGGTAACAGCAGATTAGTAAAGTTTTCTCAGAGTTTTTAATTTTTTGGGGCCAAGTTTCATCTACCTGATCACAGTGTGTGTGGTTGTGAACTTCCTTCTCCATTGACTGCTGATCGCCCCTCACCAACGTCTCTTCTTCTCCATCTTTAACCTCAACTTTGATGTCTTTAAGTTCTTCACCCTAAAACCCCCAACATAAATTATACATTTAAAAAAAAAAAAGAGATTACATAGAAGAATGTCCCTATATTTAGAATCAATTTTGAAATTTGAAAGTCTAATCCCACCTACCTGACCATGGTGGGGGGTGGTGAGATCTTCCTGGGTGGGATCCCGGGAATACAGAGGACGGGGACATCTCTCTGGTGGGTTCCTCTTACTGGATCCATCTGTAGGAAACACACACACTGACTGAATACATTGTTTCTATGTGTGTATCATATGATGGGGGATCTAGGTGGACCCTCCGTACTGCTCTCTCCTCTTACCCGGTGATGTGAGGGGCGGGGCATTCTCCATCACCACGTCCTTGTAGAGATCATCTTACCTCATGATGTGAAGGACTACATATCCTGAATCATCAGTCCATATACCTATACATTGTGTTCATTACTTACTTGTGCTGATATCCAGAGAAGATTCCTCCTGTTTAATTGCCATCATCATTCCAACGTTCTCTGTCATTTGATGAACATCATTCACACACACCTCCTCTTCTTCCTCTTTGACCTTAACTGTTATATACATCTGTTCTTCAGGCTAAACCAACAGAATGATAGAAAAACCATCTTCAAAATGTGACCACCAATAGACTGAGAGTCTATAAAAGATATAATATCAATACAGTGAGGAGTTACTTTTGGGTTTTATCCACCTACCTGATCCTGGTGGGGGACGGTGAGATCTTCCTGTGTGGAATCCCGGGAATACAGAGGAGGTGATCTTGTTGGTGACTTCTAGTATCTTCTTGGCTCTTTGTTCCTCTGTTGTCAGGCGGTGAGGTGGAGACACTTTGATGGGAGACATTCCTTTATGACAACTGCTGGGTGTTAATGTTTTCTTCACTAATTCATAATCCTGTGTAAGGAGAGAAAACACCAATTATTACTACAGACCTCCCATAATCCTCCTCACTTTTCCGGACAGGCCAATACAAAAAGAAGAGAAAACTCCCAGAATCCTCCTCACCTCTCCGGTCAGCAGGTAGATGATCTCCAGGGTGAGGTCCAATATCCTCTCAGTCATGTGTCTTTGGACTTTGTCCATGCCTACTGAGATGGTCATGTGATCTATATCGGACTCTCCTCTCTGTAGACGGATAATAAAATGAGAATGATCTGGACTGTCCCGGGATGAATGATGTCTGCACAGAGTTCCTCTATAACCCTGATACCTCAGACTACATTATGGACCTCGTTCATCTCACTGAAAGTCAACCAGAGATCCCCTTTTAGAGAAAAACTCAAAACAAAACCTTTAGATTGACCAGAAAAGCATTATAACCTCCGTTGAGGTATACTTCTGTCCCATCGTTTGGGGGTCAGAGATATAAAATAAGATCCATCGTTGGGGTCAGAGATATAAAATAATTCCCATGGTTGGGGTCAGAGATATAAAATAAGATCATCGTTGGGGTCAGAGATATAAAATAAGATCATCATTGGGGTCAATGATATAAAATAAGATCCATCGTTGGGGTCAGAGATATAAAATAAGATCATCGTTGGGGTCAGAGATATAAAATAAGACCATCGTTGGGGTCAATGATATAAAGTAAGTCCCATCGTTGGGGTCAGAGATAAGAAATAAGATCATCGTTGGGGTCAGAGATATCAAATAAGATCATCGTTGGGGATCAGTGATATAAAATAAGATCATCGTTGGGGTCAGAGATATAAAATAAGATCATCGTTGGGGTCAGAGATATAAAATAAGATCATCGTTGGGGTCAGAGATATAAAATAAGTCCCATCTTCGGTGTTCAGTGGCTACTTACTTGGACCCACATCCCCACCCTGCCGATGGTGGGACTATACTGTCCCTACTGAGCAGAAGATCATCTCGCCCGTAAGTCACAACTGCCGTTGGAACTCTTTGGGAAGTGCCAAGTGTCCTGGATTGTGGGGGACGAGGACACAGCACGACATTGTCCAAACTCTCAAGTCTGTCCCTCAAGATCCAGAACACTTGCCCACTATGATCAGACTGGACGGGAATATTTTGTTTGGAGAAAGGAAGCTTTGGGCAAACATCGGACCTTCCTCAGGCCAAGAAACGCATCCAATCACACAGCTATGGAATTTCAAAACGACGGAGGTCTCCAGAGGGACCTTTTGGAATCCAATATCAGACAGTATTGTCTGATATTGGATTCCAAAAGGTCCCTCTGGAGACAGTTACAGTCTACTGGAAGAGCGATGTGACCCGACGGACGTAACCCTTCTCCAACTTACCTCGTATCTTAGTACTTCGATGCGTTTCTTCCACCCACGATACCTTTGTGTGTGACTTTTCCAATAAATTAGGATTCTCCAACCATCCGATCCTCTCCGAAATATATCAACCTACGTAGAAGATGCTAAAGATGAAAGGCGATGGAGGACTAGCCGACCATGACGGAGGGGGGTTCCCTGGTGTCAATATACAATAATACCTTATTACCTCCTCTGCTGCCAGGTCCAACAATGTCTCCTCTCTAGTTCCCTCCAACTCACCTTTGACCCGGAACTTCCTGTGTATGCCCCTACATCACTTCCTGTCTGCTCGTGACATCACTTCCTGTCTATTACATCACTTCCTGTCCCCAAATGGCACAAGTACCTTTCTGTGCGTTCCACTGACAACATGGACAATCACCTCCTTGTGGACAATATAAAAATTGCAGCCTGGAAGTGGAATTCTAGTGATCAAGATATAGTTCCAACGTGTCCCCCTTATCAAGTGTCCAACATTAAACAAGTCTCCCGAACTACCTTAAAATTAAGTCAAAATTCATGGTCATGTGATTTTTTCCCCAGTCTCTTTCTTTCCATCTCTCTTAGCCGGTGATGGGCAGGAAGCAGCGGGAAACAACTTGAATATCCCAGAGAGGAACGCGTTGGAACAATGGACTACATGTCCCATGCACAGTGCATATCGGGTGTCAAGTGTTCTTCTGCTTCCGCCAAAGCGATGAAATGAGATAGGATCAGCTGCGTGGAGGGAAGAAAACTCAACACGGGACAACCATACGGAAAAGATGAAGTCACCATAGATAAAACAAATGTCCTCCATGGCCAAAGTGAGCATAGAGACACGACGTAAGATGGTCGTCTTACATCACCAATGTCTCTTGAGGAAAGTTAATTCTGGTGTTAGATGCTTCCAGATGTTCTGCCCAAGTTCTTCTGGAGAGGAACAAACAAGTCAGCAAGATGAAGGACCAAGAACACAGTGGTTGGCCATGGACACTGTGTGCAGCAGACTAGAACTACGTCAAGCTTTCTCGTCAAGATGTCCAGTATCAGCTCGGAATTACCAAAACCCACTAGGACCCCGGTAGACCCATCTACAGTGTGGAGAAGTCTTTGTTTTTGGCAGTTTTCCCACCGAATTGCTCAAGAACGGTATAGAGAGTGATGTCTTCAGAAGAAGTAAAGCATTATGGGGTTTCTCTACAGAGTTGGGTTACATTTCTCCACATAGAGTTGACCATTTGGTCAGAAAATAGGAGCTTCAGATGGTGTGGCCTCCACAGTGCCTCGGTCTCACCATCAGAGAGCCAGTTCCTCTTGCAGATTCCTCACATGCATGCTACACCTTGATCAGCCATGGTCCATGATTGGTTCCTGCTTGGCCTTTTCCTCAATGATCAGATGGCACACAATGCCATACAATGTCCATGGCCAACCACTGTGTTCTTGGTCCTTCACCTTGCTGGCTTGTTTGTTCCTCTCCAGAAGAACTTGGACAGAACATCTGGAAACATCTAACACCAGAAAATATTATTAAAATAATATTTTCTGGTGTTAGATGTTTCCAGATGTTCTGTCCAAGTCCTGTTTTCTGACCAAATTGTCAACTCTACATGGAGATATGTGACCCAACTCTGTAGAGAAACCCCATAATGCTTTACTGGTTTTGAAGACATTACACCATATACCTTTCTTGAGCAATTCGGTGGAAAAACTGCCAAATACAAAGACTTCTCCACACTGTAGAGGGGTCTACCGGGGTCCTTGTGGGTCTTGGTAATTCTGAGCTGATACTGGACATCTTCCGGGCTTGGAGAGGAGAAAGCTTGACGTAGTTCTTGTCTGCTGAACACAGTGTCCATGGCAAACCATGGTCCTTCATCTTGCTGGCTTGTTTGTTCCTTTCCAGAAGAACTTGGACAGAACATCTGGAAACACCAGAATGATCTTTCTTCAAGAGACATTGATGATGTATGAGGACCATCTTACGTCTTGTCTCTATGTTCACTTTGGCCATGTAGGAGATTTGTTTTTAGCTATGGTGACCTCGTCTTCTTCGTATGGTTGTCCCGTGCTGAGTTTTCTTCCTTTCTACGCAGCTGAAGGTATTTCATTTAATCGCTTTGGCTGAACTTACACAAGTGACCAAATAATATACTGAATTGTGCTCTCCGGTGGATGAATACTAGTTTTGGTTGTCCCTGTCCACCTTCATGTGTTCTGGCAGCTGTTACATGCTCCATAGGAAAATAAGGTACCGAGGGATGGTGGGAACTCTCCAGGATCTAGAAACTGTAAAGGTTGATTAACTCCACGGCGACCACCAAACACTGAAAACTCTCTTTTGGGGGGTACCGGCCCTCTAAAGTGGAACTCTTGCAAAACCTTTTTGGATTTAGGTGGAAGTTTTTGGAGAGGGTTAGAACCTTTTCGGAGGTTTTTGTTCCTGCCTGTGACCTTGTTGAGAAGATCTATTCTTGATACCAACCGCTGTTTCCAGAACGGGAAGTGATAAATATTAAATAGCTTCGTCCTCCCTATTCTCCCCATGGTCCATGATCAGAGAAAGTCCATCCTCCTCTATTGTCCGTCGGATCCCACTGCTTGTTCTACGTAGAGTAGGGGAGAACATCGGAGACAGCAAGCTGACTTGTTTCCAGAACGGGAAAGTGATAAATATTAAATAGCTTCGCCCTCCCTATTCTCCCCATGGTCCATGATCAAAGAAAGTCCATCCTCCTCTATTGTCCGTCAGATCCCACTGCTTGTTCTACGTAGAGTAGGGGAGAACATCGAAGACAGCAAGCTCAGAAGAGCGAAGCCTAGACATGTAGGCCGTGGAAACATTCGGTTAGGATATTTCATCATTTTCGGGATTCGGGTCCGAAATTCAATTCGGTTCGGGGTTTAGGACGAAATCCAAAATTTCGTTAGTTTCGGATGAGTTTACGAATCTTCGTTACGACTACCACAGACAACCATATAGAGATATTAATACTAAAGCCGAGGCTCCTAGACCCGAGTGGCACTGGCATCAGAATTTCAGAATTGCATTCGGGAGCTCCTGTATGCCATTCGGGTCTGGGAGCCTCATACATATAATACTAAAGCCAAGGCCCCCAGACCCGAGTGGCATTCGGGGTCCGAAAGTTCCCTATTACATTGGGGGAGCTCCCGATTGCACAGCACTATCTCCTAATATCCTCAAGTCATAATATGTGTTTCTCCTTTGTTTAGTGCGGACTTCTCATGAAGATTACATTCTGCTCATGGTTAGACCTTTGATGCCAAGATATAGATACCATCTGCAGGTTGGTTGCAGAGGTCCATGTTGTCCTGATCCCCTCCTCGGGGTCTGCTCACTACTGTACTTAAAGAACTATGAGATGAGTGATTTCCACACACCTCATAGTTCTAGCCGACCTGTGACAATGAGACTGTCACAGGTCGGCTCAGTAAATCGGGAGGTGAGAGAACACATACCGGCGTTCGCTCACCTCTTGATCCTGTCACGGCTCTCTGCCGTGACAGGGGGAGGGGCTGGATTCCCCCCTCCCCGCTCCGATCCGCCAGCGCTGACTGGCGGAACGGACGGGGGAGGGGGCGGGTACAGCTGGCTCTGCCTCTAGATAGGCGGAGCCAGCTGTCACTCACGCAGCTGGGCGGATCCCGGCACAATTGTCGGGATCCGCTCCGGCTGCGGTGTCTCAGTATACCGCGAGCTGTAGCTCCCTATATACTGAGCTTAGGGTGACGGGAGGACGCTAGTTTGTGTCCTCCCGTTACCCTAAGGAGAACTATGGGGAAAAGCCTTAAAATCATAGTTCTCCTTTAATTACTCCTCATATCTGTCCAAGTTTTATTAATTTCCTTCCCATAGGTACTTACCATTTGTTTCTATTAGGGTTTGGTTATTAATCTCCTGTCCCCGCTTACCTACAAATCAGGGTTCAAGAAGGCTAACTTTTTTTTTATTATACACATAGGTTACTGCGAAATTAATGTAATTTTGTGATTAATTTAGTAATGAGTTATTTTGAATAGATTTCCAGTTCTTGCCCATAGGCAAAAATGATGTCGTCAATAAAACGAAGCCATATTGGAACTTGGAACATGGAATGAGGAGCCCTTCTGAGCTGACTTCTCTGACATCTCAGAAGACTTCCTAGCTCCTTGGAATGTTCCCCGCAGTCTGAACTTTGTATTAGAGTCCATATCTTCCAAGTGTAACACTCAACAAATTTATTTAGTAATTAAATCTTTTCATGGATTTCCAGTCCTTGTCCATAGCAAGATAATGCCGTCAAATAAAACAAAAAAAAATCATATTGCTATCTTGTAGAAACTTAGACCGTGGAATGAGGAGCCCTTCCGAGCTGACTTCTCTGAGAAGACTTTCCTTCTCCTTGGAATGTTTCCCACAGTCTGAACGTTGTATCAGAATCCATACCTTCCAGCTGAACACTCAACCTTTAATTACTTTAGTAATAAGTTATTTTATTAGATTTCCAGACTGGTCCGTAGCAAGATAACAATGTCAATATAACAAAGCCATATTGCCGTCTTGTAGAAACTCCGAAACATGAAATAAGAAGACCTTCCGAGGGGACTTCTCCGACCTCTTAGAAGGCTTTCTTTCTCCTTGGAGTTTGTCCCACAGTCTGAACGTTGTATCAGAGTCCTTATCTTCCAAGTGGAACACTCAATGTGTAATTCATTTAGAAATTGTTTAAAAAAAAAATTTGATTAATAGGCCTTGTCCATAGCAAAAAGACGATCGTCAATAAAATGAAGCCATGTTGCCATCTTGTAGAAACTCAGAACATGAAATGAGGAACCCTACAGAGATGACCTCTCGGATCCCTCAGAAGACTTTCTTTCTCTTTGGAATGTTTCTCATTGTATAAGAATCCGAATTTTCCAAGTGGAACTCTCAGCCTTTAATTAGATGATGTCGTCAATAAAACGAAGCCATGTTGCCGTCTTGTAGAAACTCAGAACATGAAATGAGGAACCCTACAGAGATGACCTCT